GCAAGCTGGGGTGGGGCACTTCTCCTTTTGGCTTTTCTCCCTTCTCCCCTCCGTCTGCAGCCTTTCTATGCTTTTACTCTGCCTCCACCCATCTATGTGTGAGTTGCAGCAGATTTATGTAATGGTGAGCTGTTGTGGTTGGCCTGGTGGCCCCTTAGCAATGCTCGGGTCCGTGCTCTCAAATGGTTGAGCTCCTTTTAAGGAAATAAAACACTGAAGCAGCTCAGAGTGAGGACACTTGTCTGCACCAGTAACCAGCTACTCGTGCAGGTTACCACTTCTGAATGCCCATGGCCAGGAGAGAAGACCCCAGGATGTGAAGGCAGTGCCAGCTTCCCAGTGATGCCAGGCACCATGGCTCTGCAGCTACACAAGCTTTTGCTTCAGTAACTGGGTTGTGGGAGGGAAGTAACTTGACATTTTCCACTGGAGGAGAAAAATGTCAAAAAGCTCTTTCCTTTTAACATCTCTTCCCACTCTACTGTCCTTTTTTTAAACAAATAGAGTGTTTCTAACTTCATATTAATCTCATCTGTCTTCTACTGATGTCTAGGATCACCTTTACTTGTTACTTCGGGTATCTTCTGTCAGTTGTCCAACAGTTTCAACCCAACTGGTTTTCAAACCAATTTTGAGATGGGTTCTCCCCACCTCATCCTCTCAGAAAGAAGAGTATCTGTACACATTATATATTCCAGGTCCAGACTTTAATCTGTGACTATGGTGGTGATCACTTTTTTCAGTGAGAAACCCTTGACTTCTGTGTTGGAAATCTCAGTGGTCATCTTCAGCATCAGTCAGCTGCCTGTGCAGAAATGGTGAGCCCACAGCCTCTTTCCGAGGCCAGTAACACTGTGAGATGACTTCTTGTTTTTTACCCTATGATGGCCAGCTATGGTATAGGCAGTTATGGATAAAGGAAGGTACTGCTTGCCCTCCTAGGCAAATGCTACCACTACAGCAAACGGCTTTTTCTGCATGAAATAGGGTATGACCTACAGCTCACTGAGTCATTAGCCTCCCACACATGGCTTGAGTTAGGATACAGCCCTAGGGCAGAAGGAGCCCTAAACTACAACCATCTACCACACACAGGCTGCTGAGTACTGGTTATCCACAAAAGATGCATGCAACAATTAACCTGAAACTTGAACAGAGACAGTTAAGAATCAGCAGAAGATTTTTTGAATCAGGTCCGATGTTACAGGTTAGCACACGAAATAGGGCTGCCTGTCCAAAATAGGCTGCAAAGCACTAATTCTTAAAAGAATGGAATTTCAGTGTATTTCTAAATAATTTAGATAAAAGGATATTCAGGATAGATGGTAAAACAGAGTCTCTAGTGCCTTAAAGAGCTGTGAAAAATCTAGCTCTTTGCTTGTCTGAAAACGTTCCTGGTGTATTCTGGAAAAACTAAATATAAAGCAGATGGGTAAGCAGAGAAGAAAAAAAAAAAAAAAAGTTATAGGTGCCAGATCAGCCTGAGAAGGAAATATGGGGTGGAAAAGAGGAAAAGGGAGCAGGAAGGTCTAGGGGACAGAGCAACAGCAGTGAAGTTTGCAGGAGGAAGCTGCTCAACACATAGTAGCATTCTGGGAATTACAACATTAAAAAAATAGCAAGGTCATGAAGGAAATGAAGAGAGATGGCAGTGACCAGAACATGGTTTTTAATATGTTTCTGCTTTGCTGTGCTGCTTGGGGTTATTACTAGAAACTGTTGATGACTTCCACAAATGACCTTTTCACACCCACTTACTGTTTTTGCATTGGTCAGAAGCAATGCATTTCTAGGGTGCCTCTGTCTGAGGACACAAGTCAAAGCACAGATTTCATGATCTCTCTTAAGAAATTTGTATCCTTTCTAGTCATTTTGAGACATTCAAAATCTGAAGGCAGCCAAAAAAAATCTGGGAAGTGAATTGAGTACTTTAGCTTCAGAAGTCTACACCTTCATTCTCAGAGCAGGAGAGGTATTTCAAATGGTTCTTTACCAGTTCTATAGTACCACGTTCAAATCTCAGTTTAGGGTCAGTAGAAGCAAGAAGATTTTTGAAAACACGTAGAGGAGCTAGAGCCTATCTTTCTTTTCTAAAAATAGCTTATTTCCCCTCATCTTTGACCTTTAAAATGCTAAATTGATGAAAGAGTTAATTAAACTTTTGACTCCAGGGTTAAAGGTTTCATGAAGTGTTACTACAAATCTGAGTAAGCAAACGGTCATTTGAACATTTCTATCTCACAGGCTGATTCAAATTCACAACAGATTTCTCACCTAATTTTAGTAAGATGAGGTAAATACTCACTCTTTTCATTGAACAAACCTGCAATTTCCATTGTTACCTCTATAATATTACAAGTACAAAAAATTCCCCAGGACCTAGTGGTCCTATCCCATAAATGGCTGACTCAAATTACCCTTCCTCACTGCATGTCATATGGACAGCTGATCTCTTAGGGCATTACAGATTAAGTGGAATGCACTGTAAATCATACGTTGAAATACAGTGAAGTGCATAGGGGATTACCTGTTGACGAAGGAAGCAGATGGGACGTTAGGAAAGTCATACAGAGAAAAATTGTTGCCTAGTCATATCTGCTCATGTGCATCATCTGTCAGTTATCATAGGTCTCAGTCTATCTCCTAGCTATGAGATATACATAATATCAGTGGGTCTTCACAATGCACTCCCACCTATCTATTGTTCTTCAAACTACTTTTTTAGTTCATCCTTTTCTACCTAAGTTTAGTGATAGAGATGAGAAATACATCTTAGGACTTGGAGATGACAGCGTTGCACTGAACACCAAGGCTGTCTACACTGCCATGCCACTGCCTACGTAGAAAGAAAGTCCCCTTCATCCCCAATACATCTATGAGATCATGTAGGCCAAACACCACTCCCAAGGCATCAGTATATCCCTAACAGATTTTCTTTTGACGATGATCCACAATGTGCATAGCAATCATATGGCTCCTGATATATCTGGGGCATGTGCGCAGACTGTTTTTGTAAAAAATAATATATTTTTTTTCAGTATACTCTTTTAAAAAGGTGAGTTTAGGGCTAGAAAAAGAAGCAGTAGAAGAGGTAGAAGAGTATGCAGCTTTACAAAAATGATAGACATTGCAAGCACTGGAGTTGATAACTACAGTTAAGATCATCCATAAAAAAGAGTACTGTGAATTGTCTTTGTTTCTGTTGACTATGGTACATGTCTCACTACAAGATGTGACCCTTCACAACCAAAGAGCTATGTGTAGAGAAAGTGGCTGTAGAGAAAATGTTGAAGTCAGGACATGGCAAAATCTAGTTTATTGCTGAGTGTACAAAGTACAACTAATGAGAATAACAGATGGAACTTACCATATTTAGGACACCAAAGATAACATTTTCTCCTTCTTTTATTACAGCAACTTCTAATATGTATTTATATTGATATATAATTAATTGAACTGTTGGGAGAATCATTACAGCATCAGCAAATACAAATTTCATCTTTGCTGGCTCTGTATGATATTTGTGAGGTGAAGTAAAATCAATGCAATCAACCCCCCTGTTTGTTTCTTCAGGCTTGAACAAAGGGTTTTAAAAAATTTATTATTTTTTAAATCAATGCTTAAATATTTTGTAGGGTTTAGTTACTGTGGGAGAAAAGAGGCTTAACTCATTTTACTGAGTTGATACACAAGCAGTAAAGGCAAGATTTTGTCCAAAGAGTTTTGGACTGAGAAACAAAGCACTAGGTAAGTGATCAGATTATTAAAAAGTATTTTAAAAAGTAATTTGTTCATAAGGTATGTCAATATACATGTAGGAGATGAACTTTATGCCTACATTTTTGGTAAGAGGGGATCAAGTGGCAAATAGAATGAAGATGCATAAGATGCTGCATTCTCTAGTAGCTAGTGCTGGAGTTCGGGAGTTCCTAATGCTGCCACCATCCTGCTGTATTACCTTGACTTAGTTATTTTGCCTTCTGTGCCTCCCTTTCCACCTACTATCCTTTACTGGACTTCCTTAGACAATAAACATTTAAAGGAATTTGCAATTTTTCTGTAAACTGTCTTCCACCCTGACTATCATTCTGATAATGGGAAGGTAAAGATGATGAGCAATAGTTTTATTTGTGGATAAAACCCCATATTTTGATAGACACTTTTCTCCTGAAATATTTTTATCATATAGGGCACTGATCACAGCATTCTGGGAGTCATTGTCTTCTCTTTGATTTTTATTTTTTTTTTCCCTAATAGTAAACAAGCATTGTGCTCAAGTGATATCATCTAGTCTGTTTTAGTGGACTACATGTGAGCTGATGCAGCAGCATTGCTAGTCCTTCGTGTGGAGTCCATGATCCAAGAATAAACATTTTGCAAAATCATCTCTGGCCAATAATTTATTTGAATCCAACAGACTTTATCAATTGTGGACTTCTACCTAGAAGAGTAAAATTCAGGTGTTTTCTAAAGTTCTCCCATTTAAAAAAAATCAAGGGTAAATGAAGATCAGATATTGGAATCTGAAACATATGAATACTATGTGTGTTCTAGTATGACAATTTCTAGAGAAATCTGAATAGCAGATAACATTCAAATTAATAAAAATAAATAATAAAAATATCTGACAGTTTACTGAATTTTTATCAATTCTGAGTTCAGATAATTTTAACCTGGAACAACATATTTAATTCCATTTCCTATGCAGAATGAAAACCATCTTTCTTGGGGAGAATTTCATGCAATCAGTTATGCTTTAGAAATAAGATAAATTGTAGGATCTTTGTAACTTCTCTGTGAATGAAAAGGCTTGCTGTCCCTCAAAATGCCTTTTCTAAATAGAAGGTTGCACAAAACCCACTAAGCACCTGAGTAATCCTGGGCAGAACAAGATGAAAAGGCACAGGACCTGCTTGTATACCAGCTTGCTAAATAGTACTTCAACATTATTGACATATTATATAGTAATATTTCTTATCAGAGTGGATTAGTCATCTTACCTAAGACTCTCTCATTCTTAGCACTCTGTTGGCCTCCAGTACTAGTTGAAAGGTCTTCTGGTACAGGCATAGGTTCATCTGCATCATCTGGGACATCACTAATTGGAGGACTTTCCTTTCCTAGTAGTGAAGAAAGTAGCATCAGTTAGTCATCAGAGTACCTCATTTTCAAATAATACCATAAAAACCACCACAAACCAAGTAAAACTTAACAAAAAACCTAAACACTACTAAAAGCATGACAGTGTTAGGACCAAACCCTGCTATCCTACAGACAAAGCTTCTTTTGAATACAGGGGGATTATATTTGTGAAAAGAATGCATGGCCAATATTTCTAAATTTACTGGTCTGGATACACAGTTATCTGTCTTATAATTTTGGATATTTGTAACATACATGGGTATTTTTCAGCTGCTATGCTCCGAAGATCCAGTTTAGACAACATAGAGTGACAGATTACAAAAGTTATCAAATGGTCATCTTTTGTAGAAACTCTTCTTTCTTCCAAAAAAAGCTCCTTGAGAGCACATCCAGATTTGCTTCAGTGACATAGTGAAGTCTAACCCACAAGTATTCTGGGGATCTAACAGAACTACCCCAGAAATAAAACTTTATCTCCAACTAAAAATGCAACTTTATTTTCAGCAAGCTTCACTAATACCCACAGATCAAGCTTTGGCTGGTCCTTGTGCCTACAAGTAATTAAGTGCTGTAACTCCTGAGACTTCCTAAAACGTACAATTAGCAGAGGTTGGTCAAAACACGACTTCAAGGGTTTTATGGTCTCTTATTTGTAAAGAGGAAATGAACCTCAGTATCTTGTGTACACAAGGTTTTGCAGAACACAGTCTGGTGCTTTAACGTGTTATAGGTATTATGGAACTGTTTTAGTGCTGAATGTAATACAATAAGGACAATAACTCTCTTGCTAATTAATGCACTTCCAGAAATGGTGAGGTTTCTTGGTTTAGCTTTCAGTCACAGCATATATGTTCTCCCCACATTAATACCACTGTTTTGAAGAGCTTCTTTTAAAATGACTTCACACATCTGTAACAAAAGCATGCCTTGGAAACAATTACCAAAAGTATTATTTAAGTGAGTAGTTTCATCAACTATAACTAAAAGGCTGGTCTTTGCACTAATAGTAAAGACCGGAATAGGCCCAGAGCAGGATTTGAACTCAGTGAGACCTTTGTCTCCAAACTGGAGATGTTACCAATTTACACTGATGCAATCTAATAGACACCCTGTGGCAATCAGCACACCAGTAAGGGCAGTAATTTCATGGCACAAGCAAATTAGGGTTTTGTTTCCAGTGAGAATTCCCTCCTTAACACACAAACATTCATTAATCCTGAAATCACTTCTCAGAAAAGAAATATTAAACCAAATGTAGCTTACTTAAATGACACCAGTCTGGTGATGGCAGTTATGGATTTGACCTGAAAGAAGAAAATGGTTTTCTCCCAACCTGCTGGATGGAGCAAAGCATTGTGCTTTCTAATCTATACTGATCATGACAGGAGGTGAAAACAACAGGTAGTTTTAAGTCATCTTCTGAATTAGCTGGTTTGGGTTGTTTGCACAAATCTAGGTTTAAATGAAGAGATTTGGTGACTGCATTTCTTAATGTTGCATTTATCAGATTGTGGAATAATCTCTGAACAGGAGTGGTGGGAGTGGCATCAGGTGAACCACCTAAATGCAGCCAGAGTGCTCGAAGGTAGTGAAGGAACAGTCTCGCACTGGCAGAGGTACTGACTACATGACTTCATAAGGTCGTCTCCTCCTCCAGCTTCCGTGGGGTATTCTAAAGGGCAAAAATCACACCACTGGAAGCAAGTGCAAGAGTGAAGGTGGATTGCATAAGTGGAGAAGAAGGACTATGAATTATAGAGCAGAGGAAAGTAAAAGCAGGAAGTTCATTAAAAGAGTTTTTGCCATTCACTGTTTAGCTTCTTATTTAGTTATTCCCACAGATTTTTCATTATTTTTGAGATGTAAGGAACTTAAAAAACTGCCAGCAGCTTTCCAATGCAAGTCCCACCCTGCCAAGCTGAGGTATCTCTTACAGATAGGATGCATGGGTGAGGAGAGACAGCAGAAATATTTTGGCTTTTTCAACACTTCCCTCCCCACACCAACAAAACAAAAACAAACAACCAGAAGTTTGATCAGAGGGTAAGAGGCAGTCTGGTGAGAATCCGCTATCTTGACACTACATGTAGGTTAAGGAAATTTGTTAAAAAGTAATAGTAATCAAAAGTCACCTGCATCATCCAAGATTCAAATTGTGTTCCCACTTACAACAATGGAAGTTGATGATTGGACTTACTCTAAATTCAGAAGAACACTTACCCTAAAAACCTGAAGGCTTTTTTTGGCTACAAACCAATATAAACACATAATATTAGACCTATGAAATAACAGATAGCAGACAAAGTCAATCTTAGTTTGTAATTCAGCATCCAACAATAAGCAGGCTAAGTAGGATGTTTGGAAGGTAAGTCAAAGCAGTCTTTTGGAATAGAAACCTGCTAGTAGATCAGTACTTCCCAGTTTATGGTGAACTGTTTGGTTCACTAAAGAGATATCAATCTTCTACTTGTTAACAGCCGTTTGCCCAGTTGGCATGAATCAGACTAGCCTCATGGAGTTGGTGGGGCAGAAGCCAGAGATCTGATATGCTTTCCTCTTTGTAAGAGACTGCAGTTCAGAAAGCTTAGCAAACTTGGCTTTAATGACTCATTTCATATCATTTGATTTCTTCCTGTTACACATGATCGACAAATCCCTGCAGGCAAAAAGGCAGGGAGAAAAGAGTGGATTTAAAATAGATATATTTTTCGAGCTCTGTGTCCTGGATTCTAGAGCATGGTATATGTATTTCATGCTTTAACTACATCTAAATTGTTACACCATGATAAGTTTGCTTCTGCATGGTAATCTTACCAATACACAGTCTCACTAATATCCTTTTGCCAATGAATTTAAAAATGGAAAGGGGGTGGGGGAAAGGAGGGAACAGTTTTCCATTTAATTTCTAACCAGCATGTCCAGAACAATAACTGGTCAAAAGCATGGAGCCAAAGCAAACCCACCTAGTGGCAAGTACTGGGGTAAATCATTAAAATGTCACATAACAGAACAAAGTACCATAGATTTATTCCATTCCCATTTTAAATCTTTGCTCAAAAATAAGAAGTGAAACACAAACAATGTAATCTAATCTTGGGGCGGGGGGTGTGTGTGTGTGTCTTTTTTAAATTTTATTTTTATTTTTTTATAAAAAGCTACCTGATATACCAAACAAAAAAGACAAGGGAGCTGTAGAGGTGAAGTTCTGTTTCTGGCACTGCCACAGATTCATGGCACCCTTTGTTAAGTCATAAATGGAGGTAACTGCAATAGCAGGCTGTATCGTACAGTCCCCCAATTCATCCTGAAGCTCTGAAAGATAATCTCAGATTTCCAAACACTGCCACGTCTGTATGAAATTGTCAGAAAAGTACCTCACCTATCAATGGTGCCTGGTTAAGACCTTCAACCTCTCTTCAGTTTCCTCACCTGTGCCCTAACAGTATAGTTGAAGACAGAAGGAAAGAGAGGAAGGGAACAAAGTGCCCAGCCCAGTAAGGTTTTATGCATCCTCTATTCCTACCAAAGTCTGTAGCCTGGTGTCTCTTTAGCATCTCCATTCAGTTCTGAGAGCAATTGAGTTCATGCCAGGTGGGGGCTGCTGGAGCGATGACTGTTAAAAAGAAATCCAAGGCAAGATTTCTTACAGAAATCTCATTCTCTATCCTTTCACAAACTAATGTAGGGAGTATTTAATACCAGAGGTTTGTTTCCTATGGAAACAACAGAATCACTGGAGAAGTTATGCAAGAAAAACAACATGCACATTTTTCTGGATGAGAGTCACAACCCAGTTCACATTCCCTTTTCACTGCTAGAAACTTATACCTCCAGTGATGAGAAGGTAACTCTGGGACAGAGGCCAGGATCTCAGGTGGGAGATACCAACCCAGGATACACTCATTTCCACCCTCCCAGGACCTAGCAAGAACATCAAATGCAAAACTCTTCTTCCTGCTTTTGCAGAGGGTGGCACAGCCTGGTCGGTGCTAGGGGATCTTTTAATGTTAGATGTGGAAACATTTGTACTGTTTTTTCACCTTCCTTAACTGTTAGGCCCTAGAACTGAGAAAAAAAAGAAAGAAAAAAGCAGGAAAAATACTGCTTGTTAAGTGAGATATTATCTGTGTTTTCTGACTCTCTTGTATGGGTGCCGGATACCGTTTGGTTAAATGTATGTCAGCTCTCTCCTCATTTCAGAACTGCAACTGCTTGCCTCATGAAATATCACTTTCAGGAGAAAAATAAAAAGTGTGAACTCTGTGCTAGTCACACAGTATTTCAGTTCCTCTAGGATCCAGCCATGCCTGGATTCCCAGAAGTAGGAATGCCTGTGCACATGAAGAGTTTGGCTCACTCATTCTAGTTTTATACTCTTTTGGCCCAGTTTGCCCCTGCCACACCTGAGTCAGCTACAGCTGCAGAAAGCACATGGCTGCAAAACACTGCTTTTGCGCTGAGAAGACTGTTTCTACAGACCTATTTTATTTCTAGGTTAAAAAACAAAACAAAAACCCCAAAGAAACCCCCTAAATGGATTTTTTTTTAAAATTAATTTCTTTTAAAACACAATCAAGTGTTCTAGTGAACCAAGTCACCTAATTCCTTAGGGTCAGAGAGCAAGCTACACCTGACGAGCATTACTCACAGAGCAGGAGAAATAAATAAAAGTGTTTTTCAGCTTGCAAGACCATCTCACAGTCCTGAAACTGTGCAACTGTCTAACTGGCTCCTAATATATACTAGAACTCTCTCATCATGCAAGGAAGCATCCTAAACACATGTAGAATCCCAGGAGAAGAGGGGGAAAACTCCTTTCTGAATTCACCAGACTATGAGAAAGAAGTAGGTAACATTCCTGTACCTTCAGATTTTCTACTTTTGAGGTCTAGTAAGAATTTGAGAAGAACCAGTATCTGTGGAACCTAATCTGACAAACTCCTGTTTCCAGAAGACTGAGTTCACAAACAACTCAGATCATAAATGAAAGTAAATTAGCAAGTGCTTTCTTTGGCCAGTTGTTCACAAATCCAGCTAACAACTCCATACCACTCACTGCCTCTTGCTCACAGAAAGTACCAGATGCACAGTGACAGAACAGCAGGAAGAGTTCAAAGGAGATTTTTTCCCCTGTAAACTGTTTATGTAGGGCTAACTCTTATCAGAGGTAAAATTCCTCTTACACTGATATTTTTATTTTTTTTTTTCTTTAAGAGAACCCTCTGTCATCACAGAATAGTACTATTCTCATCAGCGTGATTTGCTGAAAAACTGAAAGTCACAGGAAGGTACTACAGTGGTTCAAATCCTGGAAAAATTTTGAGAGCTACAAATTATATACATAAATTATGTACATATTTACATTTACAGAAACATTCAAAATGGTGACATTTCTTGCAAATCTTCCCTCTCGAGGAGAGAGGCAGACCATAAGGAAGGCAAAGTGTGTGACTTTCTAATCTGCTTCTTGACTCGAGGCAGCAACTCCCACACTTGCTCCTGTCCATGTCAGAAGTGAAAAAAGCAATGCTCTGGTAAGGAGCAGCAGGTGTGGAGCTCAAAGTAACACTGTTGTAAAGAATACCACAAAGGTTAGGTGTGGGTATTCAGGGGGGCCTGTGCTGCTGCAGAGGAAGAGTAGGTCGGTGCTCCCAGCCCCAGGAGCTCCCGCAAGGCAGGAAGGGGTTTCTGCAGCAGGCAGAGGACCTGGGCTCGGATCACAGCACCTCTCACTGCTCCGAGCAGATCCACAGTGCTTTGTCTGCATAAAGGATTAAAATCGCACTGGTTTTTCTGCCTAGGCCACACATGCTCCAAGCACATCATGGATAGGACAGGTTTTGTTTCATTTACAATTTGTTTCAGCATACGACAAAACACTGATATGTAAGTATACCCAGTTACAATTTCAAAAATGTTACCGAGGAGGGGAGTGCAACATGCCTCTACAGGGCTGATGAGGAATGACTTTCCTATACTAAATGTAATTGGTAATCTTCTGTTGGCATGAAGGATTCTTATATTGTTGTTCTTTCACACAGAAAATATCTTTGATTTTCAATTTTCAAATGACACTAAAACTTCTGGATTCTAATATTTGAGAAAACTCAACATTTTTAAAAAGGAGGTAGAAAAAAAAAATTGTGTTCATATATTTCAGGAAAACCCCATGACCTAGCCACCCACACTGCACGCAGACCTTTATGATGTCCTATGACTGGTGTCCAGGTCCTGAGCCAGCAGTGCCCAGGTGCTGCCTCTTAAGAAAGAACCCCACTCCCAGCTATCTGCCTGGAGCCATCTTGGGGATGGGGCTGCAGTGCTCCAGGCTGAACACTAAAAGTGAAAACTGAAAGCCATTAACTGTTGCAGCTACCAACATATTAGGGAAACTAGAAAAGAGACTAACTTGTCCTTATTCAACTGCGGGGAATATGTACTATCTTATTAAGTCACTTTAAGGAACATCTCTAAAGAAGTTTAGAATAAAACCCTTCATAGGAATATCAATACAGGGTAAAACCGCAAAATCCTATCCATGGCACTACAGGGCAAATTTTAGAAACCTAACTCCCTTGCTGCTTAAAAATTTTTTGAAATATTATCATCTTGGACAAAACCAGTTACAAGTATAAAACCTCATGTCAATCGGTTGGTGGGTTTTTTTGGTTTTTTTTTGTTTGTTTGTTGTTTGTTTGTTTGTTTTGTTTTTTTTCTAAGTGTTTATAAGTAAAACAATGCTCTGGAAAAAGCCAAATAACCCTATGTTTTAAATAAGTTTGTTTGCTTTTAATTAGTATTTGCTCCCCCCACCTGGTGAACTTTGTTTGTTCTATATTTATTTTGTAACAATCAGAATTTTGTTCCCAGAAGAAAGAATGTAAATGTGCACCTGACCATGCTTCACGGGTATGCTACCACAAGTTTAACGCAAAATTACATCTAGGCTTCTATATTCCCTTGACTTCTTTATTTACCCAGCTCCTTTTATAAAATCCATGCATTGGTGGGCTTGATATCAAGTGATAACATTAATTATAACTTAATTCCCACTCTGGTTTTAAAAAAAAGACTCAAAGCAATTTTATTGAGAACAAGAAAAACATTGTACTGTGCTAGAAAGATGAGCAGAAATTTAGGATTTTCTTTGTAGAAGTATTCTTTAAGGACCTCACCTGAAACCTGGGACATATCTTGAGCCTCATCTGTTTCCATTTTCCTCAAGTTATCTGAGAAGAGAGGAAGAGCCTTAAGTTAATGCAAAATAACACACACATACAGAAAAAGAAAAAAAAAACCCACCCCACGCACACAGAGAACGAGAAAGAAGGGGAAAGGAAAAAAAAACTCCTTTGCTATTTAACTATAAGATTATCTGGGAAGAATAATGTATTTTTCTCTTTATTTCCTCCCTGCATACTTGCTGGAGTATCAGACTGGCACAGACCTTGATCCTTTTAAAAACAGCATTACAAAGATTTATAAAAATATCATTACAAGCACAGGAGGACCAAATTTGTTATTTATTGTTAATTTCCTACTGCATAATAACCCAAAATGCAAACTGACTGCAACAAAATTAAGCAGAAAATTAAATGGCCCTGGGTCATTGTAGGCACAGAATTCATTCTCTTGGTTGATCCATAGTTATGTTCTTTCTAATTTACTGAGCATGCATCGATGAACCTTGAGTCAGCTTGGTGACACGCGTACAATCAGCAATCAAAAAACGAAGCAATTTGCTGAAGAATGTCTCATTTACCCAGTCAGGGCTGCATATCTGAGCAGCAACCGCCACTACCTCCATTAATAATGAATACACCTCCAGCCGCGGCAGATGGGCAGAGCAGCAGCTTCAGGCTTTGGCCCCTTGCTCGCCCGGGAGCCCTTCCTTCAGACCACACCAGTCCAGCGCTGCACAGGGGAGAAGTACAGCTCCCCAAAATAGCGAAACAAGCCCAGGAGGGAAAGGGAACCCGTGCCTTCCTGTTTTGCTGACAGATGGCTGGCTCCACAGCACGGCAAGTGATACCGGGAAGCTCCTGCCCTCCACTTGCAACACACCATCTTCCGAGGAGCCAGCAACCAGTGACCACAAGCACCAGGGAGAAGCGTGCGGAGGGTTAGTGGGGTAGAAACAAAATTCAGGTTTTCAGTCGGAAGGGGACCCTGCAGGTCCCAGGGCTCGAGCACCAACTGTGGACAGCTGGTGGCCCCTTGGATAACAGATGTGCTGCTAGAGCAGGTAGTCCCAGCACAACCTGGTCCCCACCTTGAAGTATGGTGTGGGCAGCTGAGGTAGCCTCAGGTGGGGAGGGGACACAAAGCCTACAAGCTTTTTGTTCAGCCATGGTATGCTAGGTCACGTCTTCAGCTGGTGTGGCTGGCTTCCCATCCTACCAAGCAGAGGAGCTAGCTCTTTGCTGTTCCTTGTAACTGGGACACCTGTCCCATTAACCCTATTTCCTGGAATTAAAAATGCGTTTTCTTGATAGTTAGAAGCAAAGGAGGATGTGGCTTGAGTTCCTACAGAAAGGGTTCAAACCTTAACCTAACCTTTTTAGCCCAACTTCCAAAATCTTTTTTTTTCCCAAAAATGTCTTCAATCTGCTACCCAACAAGCTGCAGTGGGAAAGCACAATAGCCACAGTCATATTTATTAATTTCATAAGTTTTGTGGTCTCATCACTTGCTTCTGAATGCCATCAGCACATCTGAAATCAAATATACTGCAACCCTCCTCTTGCAAAAGCTGGCTTCCCTCACCAGGTCCATGCTAGACTTGCAAAAAGAGAGCATGTAGACTGCAGGACTGCCAACAGATAGGTTGGGGAACAGATTTTGGCCTGTGAAGTTTGCAAAAAAAGTTTTGTATTCTCACAGAGCATTCTGCCTGTTGCACATGTACCATAGCACTGCTTAATATCCAATAATTCTCTGTCTTGTTTATTCTGCTCTTAAACTTTTATACCAGACAAGCAATTTGTTTAATGTCTATATATAGTTCTCAGAAATTAGTATAGCCATGCAAAACGCAAAAAGCCACCTACAACTCAACAATTTGCATCAGTTCCTATGGGACCAAAGAGCTTTCAACAGTTCCATTTTTAATTGTCAGTGGGAAATGCAGCTTCTCTCGCAGGAGGGAAAACCCTATAATGGTAGCCTGCTCAGTTACTGGAAACGTGGTGTATTTATGGTAGGTGATATGGTACAAGTGCTCAGTCCTTTATTTCTCCTGCAAGCACGACTGAACACAAAGGAAGAAAAAAGAAATGCCTATGGATCTATTACTGACTTTGAGGGTCACCTGGATACTATTAATAAGTTGATTACTACATATTTTTCCACAGAGTACAGTGAACCCCAACCAACCAAAGAAAACATCCAAGAAAATACCCACCAGAAAGGGAGCCACAATTGTGAAGGGCACTTTATTCTGACTGCACCTGCCTTCTCCCTATTGTTGGAGAAGTGACAAAGGAGAAAATGTCTTCTATTTTAGTATTCCTGAATTTACCTGCTTTGGTATGACAAGCCTTACAGTCAGCATTTCTGCAACTTAAGCAGCACACTTCTCAGCTGTACTCCTTCCCAACTCTCGCTGCCACCAGGCAGAAATCAGTTAGAAACACTTCACAATTATTAAATGGAGAGGTAACTAGAGTATAGACTGTTTGGGGTTTTTTTGGGTTGTTTGTTTGTTTTTAATAAAGGTAAACTGGAGTACAGTTTGTTTTACTTTTTTTTCGTGAAATACTCCTAGGCTTGCTTTCTGTGAAGTTGGATGACTACCTGTCCTGCAAAAGATGCCCTCAGTCCTTAAAGAGATGACTTCAGGGTTTATTGTTGAATTAAGTGATTTTAGGACATTTGTCAAAGCTGATCCATTTCCCAGGGATGAAACCCAGCAAGAAAATAGAGCTGGCAAAAAAAGGTGATGAAAGATTTTTTTTTTTCTCCTAATGATTACTTAGAAAAATTAAACATGGTTCCTACATGTAGATTAAGATCCACAAGCACTAAGCAAATCGATAAAAGCAAAAACCCCTCTAAAAAAACCTAAACAGTGTTTTGAATCTCTCCCAGGGAAAAATTGTATTCTAACACCACAGTGTCCAGTGATACCTCTTAAATACTCATGAAATCCCAGCTACCTTCAGCTTAGGCTTTGATTCAGCAAATAATACATGACAGGACACCACCCCCACTCCCCCTCCCCAACTCCACAATGACAGCAATGTGTTGGGTTTGGCTCTGTGACTGTTAAAAGGTTTTTCATACTGAACTTGGGCATAATGTGTCTTGGGCTAAATTTTAAGTACTAAGAGTAGAATTTATCTTTTTGCCTTTGGTATGGTAAACCTATGAATAGGAAACTATAACCTGTTTTTCCTCCCTTTCCTCCTCTGCTCTAGAATCAGCAGAAATGTCACTGACTTCTTGGAAAGCAAGAGACCCCTATGTACATATATAAGGGTTTGAACCAATCAACTTGATATCAATTTGTAAATGAATAGATCTTTACAAAGATTTATTGAAAAGAACACTGTTTTAGAAAAGTTTATGACATGAAATCCTAAATAACTGTCCGTTTTGGCAGGAAAAATAATTGTTTTGCAATTTTTCATTGTAAATGGTATCTACAGAATCAAATTTATTACTAGTGTAAGAAGAGGGTATGACTTCACAGTCTTCAATGCAGTCACATCTATTTAGGCTAGCAGGTGATTTAGGAGCCTGAATTTAGAAGTCAGAAGCTAGGTGGGCAGCTGACCAAAGCAATCTTGCTCTCAAATGCTGAACATGTGTAGCTCTCATTTATAGCAAGAAAGGGATCAGCACCTACATGATACTAGATATTTCTTCTATTTGGGAAGCCAAATAACTTCAAAGTTTGGCCTCTTATTGAAAGATCTACAAAGCTCCCTTCAAAATAGCTGAAATTATTTCTTCAAGTCTTTTCAGATACAGAACTCTAAAACAGTATGTTTTCCTCTTCAGAGTCCAAGTAACAGATTCACAGATAAAGCTATTATAATGCTTTGGAAAAATAATCAAATGTTGCAATCTTAAGATAATTAATAATCAACACACAAAAAACCTGAAAGGCTATGTTGATTTTGTTTTAAATAAAGAAGCACTTAACTGACCATACTCACACAAAGATTTTGGTTTTAAATTAGTTGGCATTTTTCCACGTTACAATCTTGAGCCCAAAGAATGGGCTGAATACGTGACTGATTTTCCTCCTCGCAACTCTCACTACAATATAACTTATGCTATGTCTTCAGAATATTTCAAAATATGTCTGGTGAATCACTGAGGTACTGCTCCATTTATACTTAGTGCCAATTACAACCAGAAGTAGATCTGGATCCTTCTAGGATTCCAGGTGTAAATAGGAAGAAGTCATTGCAAGGTCAAGATTCTCTAATCTTCCAGAATACAGCAAATTAATTATTTGCAAGTCTTGGTTTATTATTTCATCTCCTGTTTTACAATGCAAATTCAAAAGTAAACCTCCTTGTCAAGAAAATGAATGCTTAGCATTTATACAGTGTTTTATCAGTTCAAACAAATGTGTAAGCATGTCAGTCCTTCTACAAACCCTGCTCTCTTAGGATATTAAAAGATTGCAAGATTGGGCCATTGATATAATTCAAATGGAATGACCAAATCCATTGCCAAAGACTAGACATTTTGTTTTCTTCTTTGTTTCCCAAGCTATACATGTACTGACTTATCTGGGACAACATGTGTTTCACGCTCAGCATAATGGGACCTCACTTATGGTATGGAAATGAAATCACAAATTTTGACATTTGCGTGCCCACCTTGGGCTTAACACTCGCATACCTAAATGCAGAGCTGTCCCTTCATCTACAGATAGCTCTGCTTCTGGTGCTGCAAGAAGTCCACAAACAAACGCCGCATCCAGCTGCACGTTTCCTGACCAACTGTAGGTGTAGCCTTGCTGAGCACACAGAAAGGTCCCTGAAGGAACACTTCTGTCTTGAGTGCACCCCATGGGGGCACATATGCTTTTCCACAAAGCCTCAGAACAGAAAATATGAGCGCTTACGAAGTCTGGAGTGGGGGAGAAGAAACCTTCTACAAGGGACCTGGTGTTCTGCAGGTGCTTTTGCAAATACAAAAATAGAGGGGAACACACGTTCCTCAGTGGCAGCAGGTCTGGGTTAACAGCGATAAAACAAGCGAAGAGGCA